CCCGTTTTTTTTTTTTTTTTTTCAGTCCGGACATTTTTCACCCCCCTGACACCGGTCCGGACTGTTCGGTCCGTGGTGTCTGGATCACCGGACAGTCCGGACCGGTCCAGACACTAGTCCAGAAGACAGTCCGGAAGTGTCTGGTGTCCGGGTCCGCAGTTACCATGCTTTTTTTTTGTTTGTTTTTAACTTCACGTGCCGGAAGTCCTGCTTAACGAGGTGATAAGATCACCCTCCTTGAGCAGGTCCCGGTGTTGAAGGCTCCATCTATTGGTGGGGAGCAGCACCAGCTGGAAATCGGGTCCAGTGTCCCTGTACACATCAATGTCTGTGTTTACATGATTATGCTGCACCCGAACTAGGTACACCTTCTGTGTAATCTATCTCGAAGTGCCTTTATGTGCCTTTATGTGTCCATAAGGGCTATGGCTACGGTGCTGGAGCTCAGGTCCAGTGTCCCTGTGGAACAGTACTCCTCAAATGACTGTGTAATTAGTTGTGTTCTGCGCCCAAGTTGGCTATCTATTCTGTGCAATCCGTCTCCCTTTTTTTTTTTGAGAGTATGAACAGTATTCACCGTGAGTTCTCCTATTCCTGGCTGCTACAGCTCCTCTTCAGCCTTCTGTGCGGTGTCAGATCTGTCCATCTCACAACAAGTGCTGTGCATCCATTTCTACTCACTGTCTCGCCTTCCCCAACCCCAGCCCTCCAAACCCCTAAGCCCCTAGCCACTCCCCCATTGCTCTCCACCTTTTTTTTTTTTTTTTTTTTTTTTTTTTTTTTCTGTCTGAACCTTCTGTGACACCCTGCCAGTATTCCCCCAACCCTCAGTCCAACCCAAACCACTGCCTATCTACTAGGGACAGGGGAGATGGGGGGAATGGATCGGGGAAATCTGTTGGGGGGCGCATTGGGATTATGGGGTCAAAGCATACCTTGTAGTCCCTTTTGAACTGCTCCTGATCGTTCTCCTTCCCTTCCCCTGCCCATTCCACCCTTGCGACCCTACCCCCCGTGTCCCCTCCCAGCCAGTTGTTGCAGAACTGTTTGATTTCGATGGTGATTTCCTGCTTATTATGTAAAAAGGCTATTTTGTTCTCAGTATCTTCCCATCGTTTATGTCTGTTTGTATTTGTTGTTTAATGAGTTCTGTGAAGTCCAGCCCGTTAATCTTTGCCCCTTCCATTTCCAATGTGCATCTTCGTCTCCAAATGGCCCAAAATACCGCCCTCCTCCCCAACTCAAAGAGGTTTGAGGTGAAGGGGTCCGGGGGGTCAGGGTGCCAGGCCCCACAAAGTATGGCTTTCCAGTCCCATGGCCACTGCGTGTTTGTGCCCATCTGCCACCAGATGCGCTCCCACCATTGCCAGGTCCAGACTGCCCCCGGGCACTGCATAAAGACATGCTCGATGGTTTCGGGGACTTTCCTGGCCCGAAAGTTTCCTGCACACCTTTTGCACCATGGGTTAGCTAAACCTCGCTGTTCTAACCTTTTTTTTTTTTTAAACAAGGGGCCCAGTGCCCAAGGCTTGTATTGATACTTGAGAACATTGAGGCCGGGGCCCTCACAGTCTACCCGGAGTAACCAACATATGATGATGATGATGATGATGATGATGATGATGATGATAAAGCTGATGATTTTCTGCTAATGGGAATCATGATCTAACCAGTCACTCTCTAAGTATTAGCCATTAAAAAAAGTGATCAGGACGGCTAATCAGAATGTTCTCTACGCAGAACTACAACATGAAACCCAATCCTAATTCCAGGTATTCTACCAATTCCAGCAATTGTCATCTGATGTTGCACTGTGAATCAATCCCACCTCTACCCAGTCTCACACCCTCTGTTTAGCTAAGTTACAGGGCAGCGCTACCCGCCCCAGCTCCGACCATCATCGGCAGAATTGTTACCGTCGGTCAAATTAGTGGACTGCCGTCCTCCCTCAGCAATCCCCAGATCTCTTTCCCAGACCTCAAGCCCCTAGAAGTTTAGGTTACAGGGCAATGCCCCAGCACCGGTCAGCGTCGTTCTGGCATCAACTCGACCTCGGCAAGTGCACTTTCACAACTCAATCAGACAATCAGCAAAATTGATAATAATACCTAAAACTAGAGGATTTGATTTAGTTGAGTCCTCAGCAGCTAACTTATCTGATGAGGATGAGGACGATGATGATAATGATTTTTTAAAGGCTCAGAATGATAGATGGATGATTGAGGTCATGAAATAGAGACAGATGATGACTAATCAAAGTGATTGTCTACTCAGTACTCAAATACTATCCTATCCCTAATTTCCTATTTCCATACCAACCAACCAAACACAACAGAGCCTATGCTGTGCACCAATCAGGCCTCTTCCTGGTCTCACACTCCAATTTGGCTTGGTTACAGGGCAGCGCTACCCACCCCAGCTCCAACCATCGTCGACCAGATTGTAGCCATTAGTCAAGTTTGCAGATCGCCTTCCTCCCTCGGCAATCCCAGACCTCTAAACAAAGCCTCAAGCTCCTACTCAAGCAGGTTACAGGGCATCGCCCCAGCGCCGGCCAGCGTCGTTCTGGCGTGAACTCAACCTGGCCATTACACAAAAAAGGCTCAATTATGAAATTAGCTTAGCTTAGAATGTCAACTAGAAA